TGTGGGGACCTGGGGCCCCCTATCGGCCGTTCCCGAGCCAAATCACCACTCACACACTCCCCACTCCGCCTCCTCTCTTGGTCTCTCCTTTGTCCCTCTAGTCAGCAAACATTTCATGGACATCACCGTACCCAGACTTCTCTGGAGAGATCAGGTGGACACACTTGGCTCCCTCTGGGAGAGAGAGCACAGACGGGAAGCTCACACAGGCAGTGAAGGAAAGAGGATGTGACCCAGAAGGCCGGAGAAAGCAGGGTCCTCGTCACAGCCAGCAGCCAGAGAAGGCCTTGGCGAGGAGGGCTCTCTGACAGAGTCACGGGGAAGCCACGCACAGATCTAAAAAAGGGAGGAGCAAAGGCTCCTTTTGGGTTTGGTAACAGGAAAGGAGACCAGTGTGGTTGGATCTGAGCTGGGGAGGCAGTTGTGTGGAGAGAAAGACGAGATGAGGAGAGGGAGCCTGTGGAGTCTGAGGGACAACCAGGTGTTGGACTGGAGCCTGATGCTAATGACCAGGTTGGGCTGCAGCCTGAGGGGCAACCAGGAGGCATTGGGCTGCAGCCTTGCAACCTGAGGGGCAGCGGCCGGCTTGGGCTGCAGCCTGAGGGGCAGCGGCCAGGCTTGGGCTGCAACCTGAGGGGCAGCGGCCAGGCTTGGGCTGAGCAGGTGTTGACTGGAGCCTGAGGGCAGCGCCAAGTTGTTGGGCTGTTACAGTCACCTTGAGGTTGGGTTGTACTTTTGAACAGGAACCTGCACCCATGGACCATCCTCAGGAAACACCTGTGGGTGGGCTTTAAGAGTGTCCACCAACTTGGATAGGAAAAAGATGACCCATCAGTTTTTACTATCCTCTTCCTGAAAATATTTTTTCTCCTACTGTGAAGGAGGAAACAGGCCCAGCAGTGTTAGTGCTACTTGGACTTCATCATCAATGAGATGCCGGGATTTTATTTTTAAAAGATTCATTTATGAACCTGTCACGATAGCTTAGTGGCGAAAGTCCTTGCCTTGCATTCACCAGGATCCCATATGGGCATTGGTTCGTATCCTGGCTGCTCCACTTCCCATCCAGCTCTGTGCTTGTGGCCTGGGAAAGCAGTCGAGGGCAGCCCAAAGCCTTGGGACCCTGCACACGCATGGGAGACCCAGAGGACGCTCTTGGCTCCTGGTTTCAGATTGGCTCAGCCATTGCAGCCGTTGTGGCCACTTGGAGAGTGAACTAGCAGATGGAAGATCTTTCTCTCCTTTTCTCTGTAAATCTGCCTCTCAATAAAAATAAATAAATCTATTTTTACTTGAATGGCAGAGTTACAGATAGAGGACGTCTTCCATCAGCTGGGTCACTGCCCGAATGGCTGCAATAGTTAGAACACTGAGCTGGTCCAAAGGTAGGAACTTCTACTATGTCTTGCCTATGGGTGGCAGGTGCCCAAGCACCTGAACCATCCTCCACTGCTTTCCTATATGCATTAACAGAGCGCTTGATTGGAAGTGGGGTAGCCGGGACTCAAGCCAGCATCCATTTGCAATGCCTGTAGCTTGAACTGCTGTGCCACACTGCCAACTTTGAAAGGCATGACAACATACACACACACACACAGATCCTCTACCCACTAGATCACTTCTCCAACAACCACAGTACCCCGGCTTGGGCCAGGCCAAAGTCAGGAACTCCCACGTGGGCGGCAGCAGCCCAAGCAGTTGGACTGTCTTCTGCTTCTTTTCCAAGTCCGTTAGCACAAAGCTGGGTTGGAAGCAGAGCAGCCAGGACCTGAACCGGTGCTCTGATATGGAACACCAGCACCCCAACTGGCAGCTTAACTCTCAGCTGCTCCATTTCCAATCCAGCTCCCTGCTGGTGTGCCCGGGAAAGCAGCCAATGATGACGTGGATACTTGGGCCCCTGTGTCCATGTGGGAGACGTGGGTCCAGGTTTCTGGCTTTGACCTGGACCAGCTCTGGCCATGACAGTCTTTTTAGGAATGAATGAACAGATGGGACTCAGTCTCTCTGTCTCCCCCCCCCGCCCTTCTCTCTCTAGTTGCCTTTCAAACAAATAAATCTTTTAAAAAAAGAAAAAAGAAAAGCAGAGCAACAAAGAGAGAGACAAGGAGAGATCTCCCAGGTGTTGGTTCTCTCCTCAGACGCCTGAGAACAGGCAGGGGTGAACTGGGCCAAGGTGGGGCCTGCAGTTCCATTCAGCTCCCCTGCTTGGGTGGCAGGGACTCAGGCACAGGAGGCAGCATCCACTGCCACCCCGGATTCACACTGGCAGGAAGCTGGATCAGAAGAAGCCACACACACCAACAGAAGCTGCAGAGATACCAAGTGGGCACTTTAACTCTGAACCGCAGCACCCAGCCTGGGTTGGTGTTGTTGAAAAGCAGAAAGGGCTGAGTGTGGAGCAGCCAGCGAGGGAGAGGGCAGTGGAAGCTGAGGTTGGAGGGTGGGCCTCAGTGTGAAGGGCCTCACACGTCTTTTCTAATGGGGGCATCGGATGGGAGTGTGTGGGTGTGGGTGTGTGGTGAGGAGGATGTGTTCAAAATCAAAGCCATGTACCCATCACTCAGTTCCACAGACAGTCACCTCTGGCAAATAGGATTTCATCTCGATTCCTTTACATTTACATTCCTTTCTTCTTTGGACATTTTCTCTCCTTTCTTTTTTCCTACCTTCATCACCTCCGTTTTTAAAAAGATACACTTTAATTGACATACTAAAAACACAGAGAAGTGTGCAAATCCTAAGTGTCCAGTTAAGCGAACAGCCGCGCACCAAGCTGGCACCCCAGACCACCCCCACCTCCCCCCCAGAGCTCCAGCAAATGGGACCCAGCAGAATCTTCCAGGCTGCCCCCTCCATGCAGCGCTGAGATGGCCGAGCCAGGCAAGGAGCTCCTTCTGCTCTTGACAGACGCCCAGGCTCTCAAACGCTCTGCCCGTCTACACCCCTGCGTCGTGTAAATGGACAAGCATTGACCTGGAGTGGAGCTCCCGGGCCCCATGAGGCAGATGCTTGCTCCGCTCCCATGTGCCAGAGCTTCCTGAACAAAGGCCACAGAGTGGGCGCTTTGACGGCAGACACTCACTGCCTCGCAGCCCTGGACGCCACAAGTGTGGAGTCAAGGAGAGGATCCCTCTTGGGCCTCTCAGCCCGTGTGCAGCTCCTTCCCTCGTGCCTCTTCACATCTGTCCATGGTCTCTGCATCCAAATCCCTCGACCCCTTTCATCAGGTCTCAGTCATTCTGGAATAGGTCCCATCGCCATAACCATCTATGAAGAGCCCAGGCCAAGGATCGTGAAGTTAGGATTCCAGCCTGTCTGCTGGAGTCAGGAATACACAGTTCAACCCAAGACCGGGCTGCCAGGTCTCCCAGTGTGTGCGGATGTCCGCAGCGCCACCTGCTGGATTATGTCAAACCTAATTCTAGACATCTTCGGGTTCACTTTGGCGGATTTTAAAAGGAGGGAAGGCTTATCTGGCTTACATTTTTAAACGACCCTGTTTGCTCTTTGGGAATGTAAGACAAGGCAAATATTTAATCGAGAAAGAAGAGGTGGATGAAGAGCGAGTCCGACTAGGACTGTCCATCCGTGACCCCATGGCCAAGAGAAGCCTCTGGGTGCCACTGGGGACTGAAGGACTCTCTCCTGTCCTGGGCAGCTTCCCATGGCTCAGGTGAGGGGAGTGGCATGCTCCCAGCTGGCACTGAGGCCCTCTCTCCCCCTGCAGGACATACAGCAGCTCCTCCAGCTTCAGCAGCTGGTGCTTGTGCCCGGCCACCACCTCCAGCCACCTGCTCAGTTCCTGCTGCCGCAGGCCCAGCAAGGTCAGCCAGGTAAGACCCTCTTCCCCACCGTGACTGCCTTGCCACCTGTCAAAAAACTCCCTTGCCTCTCCTTCGTGCCTTACCCCTGGTTTTCCCCCTCGCCTCATTTCCCCAGGCCTGCTACCGACACCAAATCTATTCCAGCTACCTCAGCAAACCCAGGGAGCTCTTCTGACTTCCCAGCCCCGAGCTGGGCTTCCCACACAGGTGAGACTGTCCCCTCTGCATGTGCCAAGGCTTACCGAGGGGCTGGGTGAACAGGGGCAGCATGGTGGGAGATGTCCCTCTCCTATCCACTAGCCCAGCCCACAGCCAGGGCATCAAGACAGCAGCTGGGGAACCTGGGGCCCAGCCACACTTGCCACTGCTTTGCTCTGAGACCTCAGCAAGCCGCTCCTTGCATGGGTCAGTCCCTTCCCCTATAGAATGAGGGGAGAGGACTGAGTCTAGTGGTTCTTAACCCTTTAAAGAATCTGATGGCAGAATTCCAGGGCCTTGTAAACCTTCAGACTCAAAACAAGGGCCCAAAGATGTGTTTTATTTGAAAACCAAATTCCTAGGAAGTCCCATACTTCTAGCCTCTCCTCACAAACATGCAGCCTTGACAAGACTGGATCTGTATCTCCATGGTGATAGCACCAGCGAGCTGCCCGTCCTGCAGGCCACTTCAACATACTCTTGGACCCCAAGGCCTTTCTTTCCATTTCATAAATTTTTTTCACCGCCCTTTTTGAATTTGAAGGGTTTTTTTTCTATCCATTTTTTTTTAAAGTCCTTTCAAGAAGTGTGAGAGCAACTCCAGAAAGACTGAGTCTTAGCCAAAGTTCTAACATCCCAAATGTCCCGAAAGGCAAGTTGTTCCTATAGAATTTTTCCCAGAACTTATTTGGTTCACAGCCTGCTTCTGAACCCCAAAACACGTGTGGCCAGGGTTTTGGATAGACTCAGGAGGCGAGCAACACTGCACCCACCACCGGCTTCAGATCCTTCATTTCAGGATGCGGATCGTTCCAGACAGAGCTGTTGGCTTCTTTGTAAATTCCCTTATTCATCCATTCTCCACCCTGTCAATTTTCTTCTTATTATTTTTTTTAATTTACAAACAACTCATTAAAAAAGACTCAACTGCTTTGCGGCAGTTTTAGATTCACGGCAAATTTGAGCTACCCCCCATGTACTCGCTGCTGTGCGCATGCGCTGCCGGCTAAAGGACCAACATCCCCCACCGGGGTGGCACGTGCGTTCCAGCTCACTGACCCATTACTGTTCTCTAAAGTTGAGCTTGCATTCAGGTGTACACTTTTCAGTTTTAACTGGATTCTCCCCATTGGTTAGGCAGAGCAGTTGTGCTGGTTCCATCATCCTGCAAAGGTGGAAAGTAAAACCCAAGGGGGTTAAAAAGCTCGGCAGCAGGTGCCCAGGGCCAAGTCCTGGATTCCCAGGCAGAAAGGAGCACCCACCCCCAGCTGTAGGGAGAGTGCAGGCTTTGAAAGGGACAGAGCCAGAAAGTCTGCAGGCAATGGCTGGGTCACAGCAAGGTCCAGAGGGAGGGGGAACATGCAGCCCCCGTGGAGCCCCATGGTCTTCCATCCTGCATCCCACCCACCTGCCCACCCCGCCAGACTGTGATCTGTCCCACTTCTCTCGTGCCCACCCCGCACCTCTTGCACCCGCAGCCCCCCAAATGCTTGGAGCCACCATCCCACCCCGAGGAACCCAGCGATCTGGAGGAGCTGGAGCAGTTTGCCCGCACCTTCAAGCAGCGCCGCATCAAGCTGGGCTTCACGCAGGTGGGAGCTCGCCTGGCAGGCTGGGTGGTGCGGGCGTGGATGGGGCATGGCCCTGACATCTGCCCCATTCACACCTGGTCTACGCAGGGTGATGTGGGCCTGGCCATGGGCAAGCTCTATGGCAACGACTTCAGTCAGACGACCATATCCCGCTTTGAGGCCCTCAACCTGAGCTTCAAGAACATGTGCAAACTCAAACCCCTCCTGGAGAAGTGGCTCAATGACGCAGGTGGGCCTGGGCAAAGGTGATGGGAGGGGGCAGGCAGACAGGGCCATGAGAGGCGCCTTCTAATGCCCACATTTCCTGGCACAGAGACTATGTCTGTGGACTCAAGCCTGCCCAGCCCCAACCAGCTGAGCAGCCCCAGCCTGGGTTTTGACGGGCTGCCCGGCCGTAGACGCAAGAAGAGGACCAGCATCGAGACAAATGTCCGCTTCGCCTTAGAGAAGAGTTTTCTAGCGGTGAGACCCTGCCCTCCTGGTGGTCTCGGGGTGGGAGGTGAGGGAAGGAATGGCTGACCAGAGCCCTCTGCCCACAGAACCAGAAGCCTACCTCAGAGGAGATCCTGCTGATCGCCGAGCAGCTGCACATGGAGAAGGAAGTGATCCGCGTCTGGTTCTGTAACCGGCGCCAGAAGGAGAAACGTATCAACCCCTGCAGTGCCGCCCCCATGCTGCCCAGCCCGGGGAAGCCGGCCAGCTACAGCCCCCATCTGGTACAGGGCCCCTGGGCGCATGGGAGGGGACTTGGCAGTGCAGCTGGCCTGGCTATCCAGAGAGCCGAGAATAGAGGCAGCGGGAGGCACCATCCAGGACAGGTGTCAGACAAGACAGAGTCCATCCACGCAGGGACACAATTTCCAGGAAGTGGCGGTCTCCTGTGGAGGGGCAGCTCACACCAGTACACACTGAGCTAGCCAGATGCAGGGCTGTGCAGTTTCAGAGCCCCACCAAGAGCACCTCAGGGCATCATTATCGGGGTACTCACAGCTCCACGTCCACGCACAAGCCGGCATGGTGTCAGACACCACTGGAGAATCCTTATTGAAGCCTGTCCCTGCCAGTGGTGAGAAGGCTGTGACCCGGTCCGAGGACCTCAGTCCGGTGCCGTGGAGGAAGGAGGAGTCCACTGGGTGGAGTTACAGAGGAAGAGAAGGGCCTCCCAGCTGAGAGGATCAGTGAGCAGAAAGGCCTAGAAGCCAGAGAGTGCCAAGTCCAGTTTGAGAAACTCCAGTGCGATTCATGGGTCAGAAGGCAGATGCCCCAAGTACCAGCACGAGGAGCTGGAACTCAAACACGGGCACTGAGATGCGAAGGCGGGGTTCTGAACTATGGTCAAATTAAGCAAGGCTTCTGGGTCTGATGGAAAGTGGAGACGGAGGTGGAGGCGGGGCCAAGGAGGTGACGTGGCAAGCTTTGAAGGGAAGATTGGCATCCATTGGTCCCCAGAATGCTCCTCCGCCTGCACGCACACTCTTGAGGAGTGCTCCTTCCTTGCGGCCCGTGCTGAAGGTCTCCCTGTAGCTCAGCACCCCTAGCTCCCGCAGGCTGTGTGTGTTCCTTCAGGGAGCCAAGGACTGCCCGAGGAAGCTGTGCACTTCAGGTGCAGTCATCTCCCACGCGGCTCAGCAGTGTCGGAGGCCAGGCGGTCAGCGCTCAGCTGAGAAGGCTCCCACCCGAGGCTCAGCATCACTGGGGCCAGACGTGGAGAAGGGTGTGATGGGAAGTGCATGGCATTACACTACTGCGGCCTTGTGCCCAGAGCAGCCCCTGTCTCCATCACCACGTCACTGAGAACATCTGGGCGCGCAAGGCTGCTGGGAGAAAGTGGCCTAATCCTACCACCTTTCCTCTCTTTCCAGGTCACACCCCAGGGGGGCGCAGGGACCTTGCCGTTGTCCCAAGCTTCCACAAGTCTGAGCACAACAGGTCAGGGAGGGCTGAAGGCGGGGAGGGCACGGGGAGGGCATGACGTGGGCTGCCGCCCAAGGTCCTCCCATGGCTCTGGGTGACTGGCATGGGCCCTAACCTTCCCCCACCCCTACCCTGTCCTGTGAGGAGAGCCCAGGATTTGTCCCTGAAAGGAGCCACAGGAGCTGTGTCTCTGACCTCCATTTATGTGCAAGATATTTCAGAAAGTTCCTGGACAGTGTATGCTCTGAAAACATTAAGGGTGATTTTCAAGATTCTTTGCATTAAAAGAAACCTAACCTTATTTATAATACTATTTTTTTCCATTAACTTTTTCAAGGCCCCTGATACACACCACCTGACTTTTCAAAGCCATCCCAGGAGATGGGGTCTATTATTATCCCCCATGTATGGTTCAAGTTCTTGCCGACGGCACATCCTAGCCCTTGGCACAAGACCCGGAGCCCCACATCGGGCACCTCCTCCCCAACTCCCAGAGGGAAGCCTGGGCTTTGTCCCCCATCTCCTGGCGGTGGGGCAGGGGACTAGTTCTAGTCAATGAAAAGGCAGTGCTGGGTTGGGTGTGCAGAGCTCAACAGGTGCAGCTGCTCCTGTTGAGAATACAGTCGAGGCCCTGGGAGTAGATGCTGGGGAGATGCCAGGTGAGCTGGGCGGGGGAGTCAAGTGGGAATTGACATGGGGTTTCTGGTGAGAGGAGGAGTGAAAGCTCAAGACCCTGTCTTTCTGTCTCTGGCAGTTACTACCTTATCCTCAGCTGTGGGAACGCTCCACCCCAGCCGGACAGCCGGAGGGAGTGGGGGTGGTGGCGGCGCGGCCGCGCCCCCCCTCAATTCCATCCCTTCTGTCACTCCCCCACCCCCGGCTACCACCAACAGCACAAACCCCAGCCCTCAAGGCAGCCACTCGGCTATCGGCTTGTCGGGCCTGAACCCCAGCACAGGGTAAGTAGGCACCTGCAGATGGGGAGGCTGGGGGTGAGAGGCCAGGGTCGCTGCTGCTTCCAGGGTGGGGAGCTGCCCCCACCCAGTTCTGCTAATGGATCCCTGCCCCTGCTAATGCCTCTGCTTTGCCTCTTGCAGAAGCACAATGGTGGGGTTGAGCTCCGGGCTGAGTCCAGCCCTCATGAGCAACAACCCTTTGGCCACTATCCAAGGTGCGTGCTGCCTCATGTCACTCCCTAGGCCAGCCCCTCCCACCACATCGCTGCTCCAGCCCCTCCCCCCATTCGCTGCTCCAGCCGTGCCATCCTGCCCCCGCTCACCGCATCACTAGCCTCTTTATCCCCATCTCACCTCTGGGGAAGGTGTGAAGGGTGCTGATGGGAGTCAGTGGGACAGCTGGGGTGAGGGGGTGGGGGTGTACTCTGGGCAGGACGCTGGAAGGCAGAGGTCTACCCTGGCCCGGCATGCCCCCAGCCCAGCCTCTTTCTTTCCCCACCAGCCCTGGCCTCTGGTGGAACCCTGCCCCTTACCAGCCTTGATGGCAGCGGGAACCTGGTGCTGGGGGCAGCCGGCGCGGCCCCGGGGAGCCCGGGCCTGGTGACCTCACCGCTCTTCTTGAACCACGCTGGGCTGCCCCTGCTCAGCGCCCCGCCTGGCGTGGGCCTGGTCTCGGCAGCAGCTGCGGCCGTGGCGGCCTCCATCTCCAGCAAATCTCCTGGCCTCTCCTCTTCTTCCTCTTCATCTTCGTCCTCCTCCTCTACGTGCAGCGAGGTGGCAGCACAGACCCCGGGAGGCCCAGGGGGGCCGGAGGCAGGGTCTAAGCCGGAGTAAGGGCCCACCATGCCTCCCCTCCCACTCCTCTGACCACACTTTGGTCCTCCACCTAGAAAGAGGGCTAGGAGGCCAGTGTGGGGGGTCCAGAGGTCTTTGGAACAGGAGTGACAAGGGAGAAAAGACCAAAAAAAAAAGAAAAAAGAAAAAGAAAGAAGAAACCAACAAATAAGGAAACCAAATAGAATCAAAACAACCAGCTGCCCAGGAACCAGAGGTGAAAACAAACAAAAAAAACCAAAAACCCCACAAAATCAAACCAAAAAACCAGTTGCGAGCCAGACCTCAGCGCGCTCACTCTCACCGCTACGACGCCAAATAAAAACCCCAGCCAGGGCCGGAGAAGCCTCTAGAAGGCTGGACCTTCCGCCCCAAGCCCTGGCTATGGGGCAACCCCTCCAACCTGGCCTCCCTCAGTGGAGCTAGGGAAGGAACATACCAGCCTGTGAGCCTGCCCCAGCTCTGAGCCAGCAAACACAGGGCACAGCCCGGGGCAGGCAGGCTGGGACTCGGGACTGCTGGCCAAAAGTTCTTCTCCAAAAGGTGAAAGAGAAAGGGCCTGAACAACCTTACACCAAATATTCAGTAGCTTCATCCAAAGGATGTACAGAATTTTTAGCGTTGTGCTCAACAGAATGTGTCCCTCCCATGTGACCCCTTCCTCGCAGCTCCCGGCTCCCCCTCCTGTGCAGGGGGTTTTGCTTTAACCTCTTCCTGCCCCCCCAGCCAGGGGGGAGAGTTCAGGGGCAGGCCTGGGGGTGACTCTCCCCACCACCCCTCAGTACGTCCCCGCTTTTCCCTCTGAAAGGGGCTAGGCCGTTTTGCCAAGTTTCGGCTCTCCCAAGTCCCTGCTCGACCCTGTCACCCTTCTCTGCTCTGGAATTCACTTCCTCCCTGGCCTATGGGAAAGTGGGAATTCCAAGCAAGAAGAGATAAGGTGAGGGCATTCAAGTTGTCTTTTTTTTCCATCCTGTCAGTTCCCCCCCACACCTAAAAAAATTCATATTCCAGTGCCTATCCGTGGGATCCTTCCCGTTCTTTGACATTAACCAGAAACCAAAAAGAGGACTTGCCTCACTCCTCATCCTGTGCCCTCTGACCCTCCATCCCCAGTACATGCACACACGCACGCACCCCGGTGGTGGGGTTCCTCAAGATGGCGTCCCCATCAGGGTCCCGTGGTGGGGACAGTGCCATGACCTGTGGTCCCCATCGGAGAGGGGGCTGTGGTGGCCACCACCCCAAGACCAACATGAGTCTTGGCCGGACCCTGTGCTTGCCCAGCCCTGGACATGTTCAACAAGGGACAGAGGACAAACACCACTGGGAGCCACCTTGCCCTCCTGCTATTGTGGAGGTCAACAAAGTTTTGAACCAAAAAAAAAAAAACCCCACAAAAACAAAAAAACCAGAAACAGAAAACCAAACAATAAATTAAAACTAGAAAAAAAATTATAGATATATATATAGATATATATATATATAAGGGAAAGAAGATGATGACTCTTCGAGAACAAGAAGGAACCGCAAGGTGGAGCCAAGCCCCTGTCCCAGTGGTCCAGGCCCTTGGTCCCCAAGGCGGACAGAAGGATGCTTCTTTCTCTTCACAAATACCTCATGGACGTCGTCTTCGGGAAAGCCGGAGGGGGGCAGCTGGGAAAGGGCCTGGCCCTCAGCCAGCGTGGATGGAAGCGGGTGGGGGGGCTGAGAGGGTGTCAGGGACGGGGTGAAGAGCCCCGAACTCCCCGCCCCACCAATCAACTGAAAAAGCTTTAAAAAAAAAAAAAAGACACGGAGTAAGAAAGCAAAAGAATGGACCAAGGAAAACTGACAGCTCTCGGTGGCTCGATTCCTCTCCTTTGATTTCTATTAGTCTGTCTCTGCCCTCCTCTCCCTCCTCCTCAGTCCTCTTGCCTCTCGCTCTCTTCTTTTCTGTGTCTCTCCTCAAACCAAAGTGTGGCCGAAAAGGACGCGAGCCATTGAAACCAGAGCAGGCCGGCCCCCGGCTGGGCAGACACCGAGGGAGGAGAGAGCCTGGCCTTTGCCAGACACCGGGAGGAGAGGCAGCCCAAGCCCCAGGCTCCTATGTTCTCCTGTCTCCCTCTCCCATCCAGACACCAAAACTGTTGGGGCTGGGCCATGGAGGCAGCAGAGACTCAGCTAACGTCCCAGGGGCCTTGGGTGCCTTGACTGGGCAGCATGGAATAGCTGCCCACCCCGACTCCTGGCACCAGTGGGGCCTGGCACTGGCAGACCCATCCTCGCTGGGATGTAAGCGTCTCTGCCGACCGGCTCCCACCCTTCCCTACCTCCGAGTTTGTCCCTTTTTTATTTCTGGAAGAGAAGGGACCGGCGAGCAGGCCTGGGCCCCAGCCCAAGGGCGGAGAGGGCACCCCGGCTCCCGATGAGACGGGGAAGGACATTTGAGCAGAGCAGAATGCAAGTAGTTACGACCAAAAAACCCCCTCCAAGAAGACAGGCCACATGGAAGGCATGGTGGAGATGACTCAAATGAAAACTGATTCTAGACCAAAACAACAAAAGAAGAAAAGCAAAATGAAGGATCCACCACCACCCACCTCATCTTACTTCCTCCCCACCCAGGCCCTCCCCACCAGGTGTGCGGGAGTGGGGCAGAGGAGAGGAGGAAGCCGGGGACAAAGGATGGGGCAGAGGCCCTGACGTTGGTGGAGGGACCCCTGTGCAGCTGGGAGTGGTGGGGGCCTTCCCCATCCAACCCCCACGACTGGGAAGAGAAAAAAGAAAATTCCTGGGAGGGAAAAAATAACCAAATCCCAAGCTTTAACTACAGCTGTGAAACCAAATATTGGGAAGGGGGGGAGGGAGGGAGGGAGGGAGGGGCAGGTGAGCCCCAGGTCTTCCCCCCTGGGCCCCCCTCCCCCGAGGACTCGAGATAAGGCACCAAATACCTCATAGAACTTTAATGTTTAAAAAAAAAAAAAAAGAAAGAAACCAAATATCGTTGGCTGAGGGCCAGCCAGGGCAAGGGGCTGGGGGACCGGAGGGAGCCACGGTTGGGAAGGTGATGGAGGACCTTGTGCCCTCCACCCCCATCTGCCCCTTCCGCTCCAGCCCCTCCCGTCTCGACTCCGGGAAACAAAACTATCTCATCATTTTTTTTTTGTGGTCTGTACAGAGCCTGTGTCCGTGTGTCTGTGTGTGAGCGAGAGTTGGAGGGCTGGCAGCTTGATGTGGGGGTGGGGAGGGGGAGCCCTGGTCAGGCTCTGGGCTAGATCAGATGTGTGAGCTCTGGGGCCTGGGCTAGAGAGGAGAGATGGACTGGAGCAAGGGGGTGTCCCCTGAAATTCTCTTCTCCCCAATCCTGACCTACTTAAGTAAGTGGAGGGGGACAGAGATGGGTCTACCCTAACGGTGGGCCTTTCAATTGTGCCAAAAAAGAGAAAATGATGCCAGTAACTAAACCACGTCTCTCTGTTCTCTTCTTGGGTGGGTGGGTGGGTGGGTGGGCGCAAGAACCAGGAATAAGGGGCTGGGGCAGCCCAGCTCCTCTGGGAGTCGGGCTGAGATCAGGAGCTCTCCATACTTCCCAGGGAGAACTGGGCAAGGGGACTCTTCTGACCCACCCACCCAGCAGCCTCTTTCTTCCTCTAGCCCAGGGTAGGGGGAACTGAGTGAGAGAGTGAGACAGACTGAGCAAGACTGAGACATGCGGGCCCCCACTGGTCTCTGAGTGGGAAAGGCAAGTGCGAGAGATAAAGGCCTCCAAGAGAAAAAAGAAACAAACCAAAGATTTAACCATTAAATAAAAAATAAAACCACAGACAACTCCGCTACCTTTTTATACGTTGGGAAAAAAAAAAGTGAAAAAAATTAAAAATAAAAATTAAAAAAAAAAAAACCTCCAAGCCGCAGTTCCCGAGTGCGGTTTGAACTTTGACCTCAACAGTCTCCAAAGCAAGACTAGGATGACAAAGGCGGGAGAAAAGGAAAATAATAATAATAATAATAATGTATATTTTTAAGTACTTGTCCTTGAGATGTTAGCTCCTTGTTCAACAGACAAACAAAGGAGAGAAAAATCCAGAGAGAAGCGTTGCTGGGATGGAGACAAATATTTACTGTCTGTGACCCCTCCCCCCGCGTCCCTCCTCGCCCGCTTTCCATTATCCCTGTTGCCCCTCCTCCAGCCCACTCATCCCTCCACACCCGGGGCTCAGTATTTATTTATTTATATAATTGCAGGGTGACTGGAGGCCTCTCTGGACAACTGGCAGAAGGCCTTTGGATCATGGTGGGGTTGGGAAGGGGACATGGAGTCTTACTGGGAGGGGGTGAGGTGAGTTAACTCTTATTACCTCCTCCTTGGCCTCTCAGCCCACTGCTACCACCTTGTCCCCAAGTCCAGGGCTGCACTGAGGCGAGGTGACCACCCCACCTTGTGAAGATCTGATTGCCTCAGCCCTTTCCCCAGTTGGAACAGGGGTGGGGACTTGGAAGGTGGCAAGAAGTGGGCGAGGGGGACCAAGTGGCACCCTCGAGTCCAGAAGGCCCCAGAGGAGACCTGCCTTTTCTCCCTTCCCACCATGCCAGCCCCTCTTCTCCCTCCCCCCATTTCAGTTCCGTCTGCCCCTGTTGGCGGCCCCTCCCCTCCTGTCCTGTACCCCCTACCTGTCTTCTCGTGGTAGCAGGTTAGCGTTTCAGTGTTCTTAACTCCAATCTGCTTGTTCATTGTACAATGTGCTTCTTTTAAGGCCCCACTTTTGTAACTTGAGTGTGTCAATTCATCTGAACAACAAACATCAAAAAATAAAAAAGTAAAAACTGTACAGAGAGAAATGATGCCTGCTGTCCTCTGGTCTGTGTCCTGGGAAGCTGGTGAGGAACGCGGGGCAAGAGGTGGGGCGTTCTGCTTCTCTTCAAATAGCCACGGTTTACAAGTTTCTCTCATTGGTCAGAAATGACGTGGGAGGAATGAAAATTCCTGAATTCACAGCTCAGTTCTATGTTGTTAGATGTGTGTCCCCAAGGGACAGTTGCTGCCTCATATTGTGGCAGGGGGGCGGGAGGGAGGGAGGGTCCTAAGAATGAAATGAAACAGATGATGTCAGCACTTAGGATATTTCTGCTCACCTGTCTTCAGTAAAAACCATGAGAGAGCCACGAAACTAGCAAGTATCCCTACCTCCAATCCTCAAAGGTCCACCAGAGGCCAAATGAAGACCTTTCAGAAAACCGTAAGCAGGGAGCTGGATTGGAAGAGAAGCTGCTGGGACTCAAACGGGCATCCATGTGGGATGCTGGTGCCAAAGGCAGAAGCTTAGCCTACTGTGCCATGTTGCCAACCCCCAGGGATGTATACTCTTTATTGTCTAAGTCACTGGGCATAAACTAGCCCATGGGCCGGGTATTGATCCATCATCTCCCAAGACTTCAGCAGTGCAAATTGGAAATAACACTGGCTCTCACTGGGGGGTTAATCTTTGTTCCATGCTGTGGTGCGAGTTTGGTGTGCAGATGGCTGGGTTCCTGAACATTCAGCAGAGTAGGCCAAAGGGACCACGGATAATGGGATGGAGTTGGAAAGGAGTTGGATTACTTTATCAAAGTATTAACACGGAATGGTTTGGGCCAAGTTTGAAACAATTGAGCTCCTCTCCTCACACACATCAAGAGCAAGACTACAACATGGCAAGAATCCACAGGAGTTGGGCCATCAACCGAGGCCTGTGCCTCCAGGGAAGTGCAGAGGGGGCCAGGCTGTAGTGTGGTGTGTAAAGATCTCATCTGTGGCCTGTGTGGGCATCAGTTCCAGTCCTGGCTGCTCCATTTTTGTTCAAGTGTCTGGGAAAACAGCACAGGGTGAGTCAAATGTTTGGGCCCCTGCATCCACATGGGAGACCTTGGAAATGCCTGGCTGCTGGCAATCTTCTGTGTTTCCACTTCTGCCTTTTAAGAAATCCTAAAGGGGGGCACATAACAGCCGAGAGCACCTTGGAGCTCACTGCTTTGCCACCTGTCTACCTGCAGTCTATTCACTGAGCCACATGCCTGGTACAGTTCTGTTGCCATCAGCTTATGAGGGCCTCTTCCACCTTCCTTACAACAGCCCAGACAGACTTGCCATCTCCCACTCTCAGGAGGAATGGACACATGGAAGAGCATCCAGCATCAGCTCAGTGCTCAAATGGGGGACCCAGGGTGTCTTGAGTAATTCCCAAAAATGACCGGAGGGAGCGGCTCTCTGCCGACACTGCCTCTGTCTTTGGCCACAAGGCGCCGTGATGTTTTCTCCCACTCAGTCCTTTTTTTCCTCATTATCCCTGATTTTTAAGTCTTGTCACAAGGATGACTCCCTCAACTGTTTGACACAACTTCCAGGATATGACAATTCTTCTTCTTATTATTATTGGGAAGACAGATTTACTAAAAAGGAGAGACAAAGAATCTTCCATCTGTTGGTTCACTTCCCAAATGGCTGCAATGGCCAGAGTAGAACTGATCTGAAGCCAGGAGCCAGGACCTTCTTCCAGGTCTCCCATATGGATGCAGGGTCCCAAGGCTTTGGGCCGTCCTCAACTGCTTTCCCAGGCCACAAGCAGGGAGCTGGATGGGAAGTGGAGCAGCTGGGCCTGGAACCAGTGCAAGGTGAGGATTAAGTTGTTGAACCATGGTGCTGGCCCTGGCAGCTCTGTTTCAGAGGAGGCCGTTTAGGAAAGCATCTTCATCTCAAAACCAGCAACCAAGCATGCCCGGCTGACAGCAGGGTGGATGATCACCGACACCCACACAGCCTGCTGGGAAGCAGGTACTCGAGGAATTGCTCTTCCCAGATGCACCTGCCATGCCACAGTGCCTGGTTCAGGCCCCGGCTCCTCTTCTGATTCAGTTTCTAACAGACATGCACCTTGGGAGGCAGACATGGGAGACCTAGAACAAACTCCACACTTCTGGCTTCAGCCTTAGCCTATCACCACGGTGTTGCATTTTAAGAGATGGAAGACCTCTGCCTCAAAGTGAGGGTGGGGTGAAGTAGAGATAGTGTTTCAAAAAAAAAAGAATCTTCCATTGTCTCCTGCGCAGCCATGCTAAATCCGTTTCCTCTTATCTGGGCAGAAGATTAAACCATGACTTAGTGTCATACAGCTCTGGACCAACAGAGGACTAAATGTTTGCTGAAGGACAGTCACAGGTATTCCTGAGTTTCATTAAAACTAACTCCCCTTGGGCCCGATGTGATAGCATAGCCGCTAAAGTCCTTGCCTTAAATGCACTGGGGTCCCATATGGGAGTCGGTTCTAATCCCAGCAGCACCCTGCTTGTGGCCTGGGAAAGCAGTTGAGGACAGCCCAAAGCCTTGGGACCCTGGACTGGCGTGGGAGACCCGAAGAAGCTCCTTGCTCCAGGCTTCAGGTCTACTCAGCTCCAGCCATTGCAGTAGCCTGGGGAGTGAACCATCAGATGTTTTTCTTTGTCTCCTTCACTCCATAAATCTGATCTTTCCACTGGCCAACCATGTGAACACTCCTCTCCCCTCCACAAGTATCGGCTGGCTGAGCCAAAGTCCAACCCTGGGGCTTCAGACACCCTCCCCTCAATGAGGCTCCGTACACCACAGGTGCAGCAGGCTCTGGCCCCGGAAGTCCTCCTCACCACCCCTGGGACCACGCCTGACTTGCACCTGTCCTCAGGGGACACAGTCCCCATCTAGCCCCAAGTGGGAGGACTGGTTATTTGTAGGTGCTGCTCCCGTCACCAGCTTCAGGTTTTCCACAGGGTTGTGGGGCCCTCTAGTGGCCAAGAGCCCATCCTGCCTCCACCCAGCATCACAGGAAGGGCCATGCCAATGACTGCGTTCTCCTCTAAAACCCATCGTGTGTGTCCTGAGCTCATACCAGATGGTTCTGGGTGCTGAGAACACAGCCAGGGGAGAAGTCCAATCCCACACTTCTTGTCTTTGCTCCCAGGTTCCATCCCCCACAAGCAGGCCTGACAACAGCACATCCACATCCACCTCAGTCTTTAATTATTAGACAATTTCAGTCTGAAGTCACCAGTGCTAACAGGTCAGTGGGGAGGCACCTTAACAGAGGACCCTAGGGCACCCCCCTCAGAATAATGAATTCAGTTACAGACATACGTGGCAGTGGGGCAGGGCGAGGGCAAGGTTTGCATGGAGGGGAAGGGTACCGGAGGGCCTGCACCCACATAGCCTGGCGGTGCTCAAGGGGCAGCTCGTGCAGTCAGCCGCTGATCTGGACACCCTCGGCCTCAGCCAGCGGGTAGATCTCTATGGCCTCCACCAGGGGCAGCGCCTCGACGGCAGTCTCCATCACAGCAAGACCCACAGCGGCTTCCGCCTCAGCCAGCTGCTGCCGCACGGCCGCCTGGTGCTGCTGCTGGTGGGTCTTGCGGTGTTTCCAGAGGTTGGAGAAGGAGCGGTAGCTCTTGCCACAGTCAGGGCAAGAGTAGGGCCGTTCCCCCGTGTGGATGCGGCGATGCTCTGCCAGGCGCATGGAGATGGCAAAGGCCTTGCCACACACTTCGCAGGCAAAGGGCCGCTCGCCCGTGTGCAGGCGCCGGTGGTCCTTCAGGTGGGTGCTCTGGCGGAAGGCCTTGCCACAGTCTGGACACGGGTACGGCCGCTCGCCCGTGTGGATGCGCCGGTGCACTTGTAGCGAAGTCTCCGTGCTGAACAGCTTCTTGCACTCGCTGCACTCCAGGCCCCGGCGACGGGCGGGGGCGGGAGGGGCTGTGGGGGCAGCACCCACCAGGGCTGCTGGGGAGGCTACCACTGGGGTACGGGCAGCCCGTGGGGCCCGAGGGGTCGGAGGCTCCTTGGCCAGCACCTCCCCTGGGCCGGCAGCTGCATGGGCAGCTTCGTGTGCTTGCAGCCGAGCAGCTGAGCCCACTTTCTTGCCGCAGGTGCCACACTCGAAGCGCTGGGGGGCTTGGGCGGCGGCGGCAGCACAGCGGTGCTCACGGAGGCGCAGCGAGGAAGGGAAGGCGGCCCCGCAGGATGGGCAGCGGTGGGGCTGGCGCCCTGCATGGGCCACGAGCTGGTGCACCTCCAGCAGCCTGCGCAGCAGGAAGGAGCGGGGGCACTCGCGGCATTTATAGGGATATTCACCCGTGTGGTGGTAGCGGTGCATAAGCAAGCGGTAGGGCCGGTGAAAGCGCACCCCACATTCCTGACAGCGGTAGGGGAAGTGCTGAGAGTGCACCAGGCGATGCTGCCTCAGCGTGGAGCTCTGTGTGAATGCCTTGCCACAATCCCCACACCGATAGGGCCGCTCCCCGGTGTGTGTGAGCCGGTGGCGGGCCAGGTTGGCAGGCGAGTTGAAGGGTTTGGAGCAGTCTGGGCAAGGGAAGGGCCGTTCCCCTGTGTGTGTGCGCAGGTGGTTGCGCACGTGCGACTTCTTTTTGAACATCTTGCCACAGATGCTGCACTTGTGGCGTCGCTCCAGCCGGTGCACAAAGCGCTGGTGGCGGGTCAGCTGCAGGGCCTTGCCAAACTCCCGGTTACACAGGAGGCAGCAGTAGGAGCCAGGGGTCGTGGGCTCAGTGGAGCCATCCTCAGCTGCGGGGGACTCCAGAGCCTCTGGTTCTCCAGTCTCAGCTGGGGCTGGCTCAGGCAAGCTGATGACGGGCTCCTCTGGGGGCACAGGCGTTGTGGGCAGGGGGACGCCCCCAGCCCCGTGGGTACGCCGGTGATACAAGAACTTGGTGAGGTTGACAAAGGTTTTCCCACATGGACACGAATGCAAAGGATTTGGGGTGTGGGCCCTCCGGTGGGCCAGGAGGAGGGCCTCTGTGCCAAAGGCCAGGCCACAGTCTACACAAAGAAAGTGTGACTCACTGCTGTGGTCCCCGAGGTGCTGATCCAGGCTGGAAGGGCTGGGGAAGACGCGGCTGCACAGGGGGCACTTGAAGACACCCTCGCGATGACTGCGCAGGTGCTGCTGCAGCTGGTGGGGGGACAGGAAGAGCTGGTCGCAGGCCGAGCACAAGAGCTCAGGGCTGGCTGGCCCAGCCGGCTCGCCGCTGTGGTCCCGACGCGCCCGGCGGCCCCGGCGATCACGCCCCGCAGCAGCAGTGGCAACGGCTTCGCCGTTGCGCAGCTCATAGCTGTGGTCCGAGGCTGGTGGCGGGTCAGGCTGAGTCACAGGTCCCTCGGCAGGTGTAGGGGTCAGAGGTTCCTGCTTTGGGGCGGGCTCCTCGGCCTCGGGCACAGGAGCAGGGAAGTGGGTGGCCTGGTGCTCCAGGAAGTCAGCCGGCAGCTGGAAGAGCTGGGAGCACTCAGAACACTTATAAAGCAGCAGCTCCACCTCAGTCACCACCTCGGTGGCAGGGGCAGTGGTGGCTACGGAGGCAGCTGTAGCCGGGACAGCTGCCCCTTCCCCACCCTCCTCTGCCTTCCGGTATGAGTGCTCCACGGCCACGCGGGCCTGGCCGGCTGGAGGGCTCAAGACCACCGGGGAGCCTAGGACCACAGGAGCAGGTGCTTTGGTGGGTGTGGCCCGCAGGTGTGTCTGTCGGTGGCTCAGCCAGAGCTCCTGGCTAGCGAAGAGGGCCTTGCACTCCACGCACTCGTAGTGGATAGCACTGGAGCTCAAGGCAGGGGCCTTGGGGGGTGGCTCCGCCGGTCCTGCCTCCTGAGGCGCCATCATCTTCAAGTGCAGCTCCTGGTGCTCCAGCAGCTGCCCGGGGGACAGCAGCAACTGCCCGCACTCCAGGCACTGGTACTGGCTCTCCTGCACCAGGGTCTGATAGAGGCCCGTGCCGGAAGCAGCCTCAGTGGCCACGGCCACCGTGGGCTCAGCCACGCCCACCAGCTCAAAGTGCTGCTGAGGCACATGGGAGTTCTGGTGCAGCAGCACCTCCTCCAGGGACCCGTAGAGCTGGTTGCACTCGGAGCAGACATAGCGGTGCTCGATGTACAGGACCGTCTCCTCGGACTCCTCCGTCATGGCGCCCGCGAGGCCCTGGGCTATGGGAGGGGCAGAGGACACACAGCGGTCAGGCCTCTGCTCCTGGTCCTCAGGTCTCTTTCCCGCTCCACCTTCCTCGGACTGTTTTCCTCCCAACCTCCTCCCCGACAAAAACACTGAACGTGACCTCTTCCCAGAAGTCCCTTCCCTGGCACTCTACCCCAAGGCTCACCTCTGCGTCAACTCCACCCACCAGATCCTTGAGACCTGTCCAATCTCGTCTCCCATGGCTCACGGCGGCTCCGGGGCTGCCCACACAGCAACCTGCCTCATCTCCACTCACACATCCTTCCACCGTCTTCTCCTTACCAACTCCCTACCCATCTTCTCCCCCAGGTACATGGCTCCCACCACACTTCTCCTACAACCTCTGCCCATCTGCCCCACACAGTTTTCATCTTCCAGCCAGACTTGCACCTCAGGCCTCTCCTCTCCACCACCCACCCCATTACCCACTGACTCTTTTCTCACCTCCACCCTGCACTGCCTCACGTTGGCCTAAATCCCACACTCCACCCCAGACCCTTGTCTAACTACTCAGCCCCTCTCCCACACTCTGCCCCCTTCCAGGACAGACAGACCCTTCAGCACAAAAGCAAACCCTGTCTTCACACCCAGACAGCCCCTCCGCAGGGTATTCGGACTTCTGTCAATCACCTCTGCTTTGCACCAAGGCAAATCTGCCCCCGATGCCCACTCACTGAACACAATCAGACTAACAGTCACATCCCCTCTTCTTTGCCCATCCCAAACCTAACCAAGGGACACCAAGGCCCCCTTGGTCATCAACCCAACATTTGTTTACAGAAAGATCCCACCTCCCCCCTGACCCATTGCAGGCATGCCAGGACCCCTACCCCTTCTACCATCAATCCAGGTCCCCTTTGTCAAACATCCCCCACATCCCCTAGCACACCGAGGAGGAAGCCAGCCTACCCTTGCCCACACACCCCTGGGGATATCCAGATCTCCCATAACACCCCAACACGGCAATCACAATCCCTCTCCCAGACATCAAATTCCTCTCACCAGCCTAGCCTATCATATGGGGGACACAAGGCCACCACCCCAATATTTAGCATGCACAACAACCCCAATCCTATCTTCACTTTGGCCTTATTTTCTGTACTTAAAACAGACCCTCCCTTCAAAAAAAAAAAAAGCAAAAACAAAACAAAAACACCAATTCCCTCCCCCAGCTTACTCTGGGTTCCCCAGCCTACAGCTCCCCCTCCTTTCCAGCTCATTCCAAGGATCTCCCCTCCCCAATACCAGCCCTCCGCAACCGCTGGTTGAATCCTAACCCCAAAATTCACACCTGGACCCTCTCCCCGCCCTGCAGCTCCCCTTTCCCCTTCAGGGACACCACTTCCTGAAATCTTCTCACATCAAGACCTTATCACCTCCTGTTCTCCAGGAGAACCAACGTTCCTTTCCTCGACTTTATAATGACCTCTTTTCTCACGCCCTAAACTCCTCCCTGACAGCCAAGCGCGCTCTAAGCCCCAACTGCGCCCCACACCCCTTCCGTCCTGGCCCAGTCCCATCATCGGTACCCCCACCCTAAAGCAGCTTCGGCACCCTCACTGCCGGCAGCTCCAAGACCCCAACCCTTCCTCCCCGCCCAGGTCCCTCCAGCCCATCTTCATTCAGCCCCACACACGCCTCCAGCCCCCTCTCCCACCCGCCGCCCCGGCCGGGCCCCTCTCCGCCGCCCGCGCGCCCCGCGGGCCGTTGGTGCCGCTCCGCCCCTCGGGCCCGTGAGTGCGCAGGCGGAGTAACGAGGGCAGGCCGCAAGGCCAGGGCAGGGCGCTGGGGCGGCCCTCCGCGCGCCCGCACACTCACCTGCCTCGGCCGCCTCGCACGCCCCGGGCCCGAGCTCCGGCCCCGGTTCCCCGGGGACGGCCACCCTAGCGCTGCGCCCTCTCTAGCTCCCGGCCGACTCCTCTCGCCTGCTCCTCAGCCTCGCTCTGGTCCCGAGCCACCCTCAGCAACGCCCCTCCCACCTTCCTCCTCGGTCGCCGCGAGGACGGCAGAAAGCGTCCAATCAGCTCTCGTCTAGTCCTCGCCGTCCCACCAATCGTTACTCGCGTTTCTGAGGTTTGGGCCAATAGGGCGGAGGGTTGGGAAGCTCTACGGCACTCAACCAATCCTCTACCGACGTCTCTTTATTGACAGGCTCCTCCGAGAGGATGCTCCTCCTCCTCTGCTCCGCCTTCTGACGGCTGGAGAAGGGCGAGCTGAGCGGAGGGCAGCGCGGTGACGTCAGGCGACGTAGCGAGGCGGGGCCGCCATCTTGGGGCCTCGGGCGGCGATGGCGGCTTGGCGTCTGGGCAGCTTTTGGGGCTAAAAATTGAGGGGATTGAGGCACAGGGAGACCTGGACGGCTGGAGCTGAGGCATGTGGGATCCCGCGAAGGTCGAAAGGGGAAGAAGTGAAACACTACCGGCAGCATAGGTTCGGGGAAGCCGCGACAGTTATCACATGGAGTCTGGGGAAACTAAGGCTCTGTACCCTCTTGACTAGAAACGGGAAAGTTAAGGCAGAAGAAGGGGGCAAAGCTCCAGGTTATTTTAGGGGGCAAACAACGAAGAGATGTGAATAAACAAGGAAAAGTTGAAGGATTCGGGGCAGAGGGAGGGTGATATGGAAATGGGAGGAAGAAAAAAGGGCACATGGAGCCTTGGGACCCTACACCCGCGTGGGAGACCCGGAGGAGGCTCCTGGCTTCGGATCGGCTCAGCTTCGGCCGTTGCAGCCACTTGGGGAGTGAATCAGTGGACGGAGGATCTTCTTCTCTGTCTCTCTCTCTCTGTATTCCTGAATTTCCAATAAAAATAAATAACGTCTTTAAAAGAAAAAAAAAAAGGTGGTGCAGGGACACGAAATTAACTTTGAAGAAGCCAGAGTATGAGGGCAGAGGACCATGAGGGTGAGAGACTGAGGAGGTGACCACGGAGCGCACTGATTCTGACCCTGACCATCCTGGGGAGAGAGGACCCCTGTGTTCAGATTCGGGAGGGGGGCATCTGGCCACCACGCATTTTGGGAGTGACTTCCAGCGTGTTTTTTTCAGAGCATTCCTCCCGGCATCCAAGGACAGGGCAGCTGGCTGGTCAAGCGCTCTCCTCCTACCGCTCCTGGTTTTCACATGAGGAGACTTAAGTTGGACCATTTCTAAAAGTCCTGGCTTTGCATTCACCGGGACCCCACATGGGTGCCAGTTCATATACTGGCTGCTCTACTTCCTTTGCAGCTCCCTGCTTGTGGCCTGGACTGCCTGGAACCAGGCATCTGTGTGGAAGATCTGGATCATCTCAGCCCCAGTCTTTGGGACACTTGGGGAGTGAGCCAGCAGATGGAAACTCTTTCTGTCTCTTCTTCTCTCTGTAAATCTGATTTTCCAGGCCCAGTGGGTAGCCTAGCAGCTAAAGTCCTCACCTCGAATGTGCTGGGATCCCATATGGGCACCGGTTCTAATCCTGGTGGCCTTGCTGCCCCTTCAGCTCCCTGCTTGTGGCCTGGGAATGCAGTCGAGGAAGGTCCAAAGCCTTGGGACCCTGCACCTACGTCGAAGACCCAGAAGAGGCTCCTGGCTTCGGATTGGCTCAGCTCCAGCAGTTGCGACTGCTTGGGGAATGAACCATCACATATAGACGGAAGATCTTCCTCTCTGTATATCTGACTTTGCAATAAAAATAAATCTTTTTTTTAAAGATTTATTTTTATTATTTTTTATTGGAAAGGCGGAGCAATAAAAATAAATCTTAAAAAAACAAAGGAAAAAAAAAAGGCTACGGGGCAGGGCAAATCTCAGCTGCCCTCTAAGCCTGTCAGCTTAATTAGCCCCAGGCTCATGTGTTAGGACACTAGGCTGTCTGGCTTGAGATCTGGCCTGATTCCTAGCTGTGACCTTAGAGACCACAACTGCCCTGTCTGTGGCTTTGTTTTCTTGTACCGGAAATGGTGATAATGGCATCTGGCGGGTGGCTGTAGGGAGGGGCCAAGAGAGCAGTTAGGACCAGCAGCTGGAGGAGTTGTTCAAGTCCTATGGGTACCTGTTGAGTGGATGAACACAAGGTGGAGAGAAAGTCAGGAAGTGGTGGGAATCTGATCTTGAAAGCTAGGACCAAGGCCCAGTGCGTGGCCTAGCGGCTAGGGTCCTCGCCTTAAAATCACCAGGATCCCATGTGGGAGCTGGTTCTAATCCCGGCAGCTCCACTTCCCATCCAGCTCCCTGCTTGTGGCCTGGAAAAGCAGTCGAGGACAGCCCAATGCTTTGGGACCCTGCACCGGTGTGGGAGACCTGGAGGAAGTTCCTGGCTCTTGGCTCTAGATCGGCACAGCACCGGCCGTTGGGCTCACTTGGGGAGTGAATCATCGGATGGAAGATCTTCCTCTCAGCTCCTCCTCTCTATATATCTGACTTTGTAATAAAAATAAATAAATCTTAAAAAAAAAAAAAAAAAAGAGGGCCCGGCGCGGTGGCGCAAGTGGCTAAGGTCCTTGCCTTGCACGCCCGGGATCCCATATGGGTGCCGGTTCTAATCCCGGCAGCCCTGCTTCCCTTCCAGCTCCCTGCCTGTGGCCCAGGAAAGCAGTTGAGGACGGCCTAAAGCTTTGGGACCCTGCACCCGCGTGGGAGACCCGGAAGAGGCTCCTGGCTTCGGATCGGCATAGTATCGGCCGTTGCAGTCACTTGGGGAGTGAATCATCGGACGGAAGATCTTCCTCTCTGTCTCTCCTCTGTATATCCGCCTTTCCAATAAACAAAGTAATCAAAAAAAATTTAAAAAAAAGAAAGAAAGCTAGAACCAGCCTGCTGTAAGGCAGCCTGAGTTTGTCCTGCAGTGGGTGGGAGTGAAGAGAGACGAGGCTGGGTTCAACCTTGGATGGGCTACTTAACGCTCTTGAGCAGGTTTTGGTTCCCACCTGTTTCCCACTTGAAAAATCTGAGGATTCAGCTTGGCTTCTCAGGTCCCTTCTTCTTTTTTAATATTTATTTTTATTGGAAGGTCAGATCTACAAAGTGAAAGATAAAAGTCTTCCATCCGTTGGTTCACTCCCCAAGTAGCTGCAATGACCAGTGCTGAGCCAATCTGAAGCAAAGAGCCAGAAGCTTTCTTCAGGTCTCTCGCATGGGTGCAGGGTCCCAAGGCTTTGGGCCATTCTCTGCTGCTTTCCCAGGCCACAAGCAGGGAGCTAGATGGGAAGTGGAGCAGCCAGGACTCTAACTAGTGCCTATATTAGATCCTGAAAGGTGAGGACTTTAGCCATTAGGCTACCATTCCAGGCCCTGGGCTCCTTTATTCCAAGATCTGTTTTGACCTCTCAGTTTGATTAAGTCCTTTCTCTTCAGATGCCTCCTGGAATTTGGTGCACTGGCTCAGTTGATTAATCAGCCTGCAATTGCCAGCAACTCATATGGGTGCCGGTTCATGTCCTGGCTGCTCCACTTCCCATCCAGCTTCCTGTTTATGATCTGAGAAAGCAGCAGAGGATAACCCAAAGCCTTGGGACCCTGCACTTATGTGGGAGACCCAGAAGAGTTCCTGGCTTTTGCCTTTGGATCAGCTCAGCTCCAGCTGTTGTTGCAATTTGTGGATGGAAGATCTTTATCCTACATCTGTAAATCTGCCTTTCAAATTAAAAAAAAAAAAAGATGCTTCCTGAAACAGTTTTTAACTAGTTCTTTTTTAAAAGATTTATTTTTTAAAATTATTTTTTTATTGGAAAGGCGGATATACAGAGAGGAGAGACAGAGAGGAAGATCTTCCATCTGATGATTCACTCCCCAAGTGAGTGCAACAGCCGATGTTATGCCGATCCGAAGCCAGGAGCCTCTTCCGGGTCTCCCACACGGGTGCAGGGTCCCAAAGCTTTGGGCTGTCCTCGACTGCTTTCCCAGGCCACAGGCAGGGAGCTGGAAGGGAAGCAGGGCTGCCGGGATTAGAACCATATGGGATCCCGGGCGTGCAAGGCGAGGACCTTAACCACTTGCGCCACCGCGCCGGGCCCTTAACTAGTTTTTAAAATATTTTCTGAAAGGCAGACAGCGGCAGAGATCTTTCATCTGCTGATTCACTCCTGAGCTGCTCAGCCTGGCTGAAGCCAGGATCCAGGAACTCCATCCTAGCCTCCCATGTGGTGCTCAGGACCCAAACACCTAGCTGTCACCTGCTGCTTTTCAGGGTGTGTTTTGAGCAGGACTTTGGGCTAGGAAGCAGAGTCAGGCCTCCAGTGCAGGCACTCTGATAGGGCTGTGGATCTCCCAAGTGTTATCAGCCACTGAGCCACTTAGAGAACATCGGTGTTCCATGTCAGGGCTCCCTGCCCAAGGGAGGGCCCAGGGGACAGACATGTGGATGGCTGTCAGGACTAGCTGGAACTAAGGGAGGCAGTGATGGTGGTCTGTCACGGTGTGGCAGGTAGGTCAGGCACAGGCCAGAGATGACCTATGGCAGGCCTCTGTGTGTGTGTGTGTGTGTGTATGTGTGAGATCTGAGAGTTGCCACGTGCCAGTTGTGTGTGCGAAGCGTGTGGTCACGTGTGCTGGGGGCTGCACGTGAGCTGTGCCGCTGTCTCCTCCCCATCACGAGCCTCGGGGGTGGTGGTGAGTCACACGCTCAGCCTTCAGCACCAACTGTCATGTTCCTTCCCCCCAAATTTCACCTCCCCCCACACCCGGCCATGCACCACCCACCACCCCGATCCTGAGATCTGTGTCAATTCCCTCTCCCATCCCCCTGCCCGGCTCAACTGCAAACCGCCTGGGGTGATGAGGGGCGCACCAGTGCTGCTCTACTGCTGCTCTGCCCACCAGCTCCCTGCCCTCCCTCCCTCCTCCCTGCCTCTGCTCCCACCCACTCCTCCCTGTAAG